ATCGGGTATTGATGACGAATCAGCACCTTCCCAACTTTTTCAATGTGCAGGAGCCGACCTGGGCGACAGCCTCCTGAAAACGAACCCAACTATAGTTACTAAAACTGTAACAGAGGTACTCGCAGGAATGCGTTCCCTTGCCGTCATCCCGGTCGCAACAGGTGTCTTACGCACAGAGTTAATGCAATTACGTCAGGAACGTGATGAGCCTGTCCGAGCATTTGCAGCAAAGGTGCGTGGAAAAGCTGAGACCTGTGCATTCACTGCGGCGTGTGAATGTGGAAATAACGTCGATTATACCGACCATGCCATACGGGACGTCCTCCTTAATGGCATATCAGACCCAGACATTCGTCGAGAAGTACTAGGGACAGCAGACATCCTAAAGAAACCGGTGAATGACGTGGTTGCAATGATCGAGAACAAAGAAATGGCACGCAGCGCCTCGTCGTCATCAAATTTGTCAGCAATGTCCTCTTTTCAAAGACAACAGCGCACCGTACCAGTTCCTGAGGGCGTCACCCCGGCGCAGACAGACCGCACCAAACAAGCCCCATGCCCACACTGCAAGGCCATGTTTCATATTTTCAAAGAAGGGGCACGCGGTTGGAACACTAAACCCCATCAAATGTGCCTCTCTTGCTACCGCACCCGCCGCAATAAAAAACGGCAACAACGAAACGAAGCCGGAAACAAGTCCAACATCAACGCCATGGAAGAAAACCCCATAGCCCAAATAGCGACGATTAATTCCGACGCTACACACCTCCCCCGTAAACACCAAGGCAGACGGTCGAATCAGCACCCAACCACCCACACGGCAGTGTTCCACCCCAGACCTGCGACTCTTGATCATCACATCTTCACAAAAGGTGAGTGGCGACGTGCCCGCCTTCGGGAACACCCCAGAATCGAAATATCCATTTCGTTGGCTACCCCTCACAAGGGAATCAAAGGCGACAAGAAACACCCCCCAAACGCCCGTGCGGACATGCCCGCAATCGTTGACACGGGTGCACAGTCCGACCTGTGGTCCCTCCAAAAATTCCTGGCCAGCGGCTTCTCTCGTGATGATCTACGACCTGTCACTATGAGCCTGTCTGCAGCCAACCGCTCCCCCATCTCGGTCGAAGGAGCATTCTTTGCCACAATTACAACCAAACCTCCGAGTGGAAAGGCTACATCGTGCAAGTCTATGATCTACGTCAGCAGCTCTGTCAAAGATATGTACCTATCATACGAGACATTGCTCAACCTAAATGTTCTGTCTCCTACCTTCCCGCTCCCTGATAACCCAAGCGAGAACCCAAGCGACAACACCAATGCTAACCCATGTGACAACCCAAGTGATCCTACCAGCACCCACACCAATGAATCAGGTCACACAGTCACCGAACATAACCCTCACTCCATTAATGACATCCGTGCATTAAACGAAGGATGCTCTGCACCACATGCAACCAAAGAAACACCGTGCTCCTGTCCGGTACGCGCAGCTCCGCCACCAAGACCATCCGAGCTACCATTCCCATGCAAGCCAGAAAATAACGAACGGATGAAACAATGGCTGCTACACAGATATGCATCTTCGACCTTTAACACATGTCCTCATCGTGCCCTACCTTGCATGGAAGGACCTCCCATTGAAATACACGTTGACCCTAGTGCCACGCCGAAAGCATGCCACACCCCGGCTAATGTGCCCATACATTGGCAACAGCACGTACACGAAGACCTGATTCGCGACGAAGCACTTGGCGTGATCGAACGTGTGCCATACGGCGATTCCGTGACTGGTGCCATCGCATGGTAGTCACAAGAAAGCATGATGGTTCCCCTCGTCGAACGGTTGACCTGTCGCCCCTAAATAAATATTGTCAGCGAGAGACTTTCGCAACGGATTCACCATTCCATCTTGCCCGCCGTATCCCAAAGGGAACCTGGAAATCTGTCACAGATGCATGGAATGGATATCACAGCGTCCCTCTACGACAATCTGACCGCCACCTAACGACGTTTATTACACCATTCGGACGTTGGCGATATACTAGAGCACCTCAGGGCTTCCTTTCTTCAGGAGATGGGTACAACCGCCGCTTTGACGCCATCCTGTCCAGTCTCGAACGTAAAGAGCGTTGCGTCGACGACACGATACACTATGACTCTGATCTAACTCAGCACTGGTGGCGCACCAATCGACCTACTCACACGAGTCGGGCAGGCTGGCATTGTGTTAAACCCAGACAAATTCCAGTTCGCGCAAAGAGAGGTTGACTTTGCGGGTTTTCGTATATCAGATTGCACCATCGAACCTCTCCCAAAATATCTCAACGCGATCAGAGAATTCCCCACCCCAACTTCCACAACCGACATCCGAAGCTGGTTCGGGCTAGTGAACCAGGTCGCGAATTATGCCCAATTACGCGACACCATGGCTCCATTTAAACCCTTCTTGAGTCCACGCTGTAAATTCTCCTGGTCCCCGGAGCTGGAATCTGCCTTCCAAGCATCTAAGGACGCCATCATTAATGCAATTCGATACGGTGTTGAGATATTCGACATGCAGAGACGTACATGCCTCCGCCCCGACTGGTCAAAACGCGGCATCGGTTATTTCCTTTTACAACAGCACTGCAGCTGCCCGAGTGGATCACCAGACTGCTGCCCCCAAGGATGGAAAATCACCCTTGCTGGTTCACGGTTCCTCTCTTCAGCAGAACAGCGCTACGCAGCCATCGAAGGGGAAGCTCTTGCCATAGCTTGGGGCCTCGAACAGACACGATACTTTACCCAGGGATGTGATAATCTTATTATCGTTACGGACCACAAACCACTCGTGAAAATTTTCGGAGATCGGACACTAGACGAAATTACCAACTCCCGTCTGTTTAGACTCAAACAACGCACCCTACCATGGCGTTTTGAGATCCAGCACCTGCCCGGAAAATGCAATTATGCCGCCGACGCAACCTCGCGACACCCCTCCTTTTCCAGTGCAATAGAGAGCTTATCCTTCGGATCCCCCACCACCTCCGACCTCACCGAGTCGGCACTGATGGCGTCTATACGTGACGAGACGCATGAGCTTAGCACAGTTCCATGGTCACTCCTCGCACAAGAAACGGCCAAAGACACCACGCTGAGTGGCCTCCTCCAGCGGGTCCAAAAGGGACCTGTCCCTAACGGGCCCGCAGATCCTGCTCTGTCCCCGTACAAACTCATCTGGGACTCCATCTACGAGCAGGAGGGAGTCCTTGTGTACCAAGATCGCGTCATAGTCCCGCCGTCGTTACGTAAGAAAGTCCTAGAGAACCTCCATGCAGCGCACCAAGGTGCATCAACAATGGAACAGCGTGCTCGTCAGATCGTGTATTGGCCAGGAATGTCGAATGACATCCGCACTGTCAGAGAACAATGCTCCTCCTGCAATAGAAACGCCCCGTCGCAAGCTGCGACTCCACCCCTGCCTGCTTCACCACCATCAACACCCTTTGAGGAAGTGTTTGCCGATTTCTTTGATTACGGCGGGCACCACTACCTTGTGGTTGGAGATCGCCTATCGGGCTGGGTAGAGGTTCTTAGTTCCACCTCGGGCACTAACCTAGCAGGCGCGCATGGCCTGATTCGCCACCTTCGGTCATTCTTCGCTACATTCGGGGTACCCAACGAACTCTCCAGTGATGGTGGCCCGGAATTTATCGCAGGAAGTACTCAAGACTTTCTACACCGTTGGGGCGTCCGTCATCGAGTCTCTTCTGCATATTTCCCCCAATCGAACGGTAGAGCAGAGGTAGCTGTCAAAACCGCGAAGCGTCTCCTAGTCACGAACACTGGTCCCACTGGCAGCCTCGATAATGATCGGTTCCTACGAGCCATGCTGCAATTGCGCAACACTCCAGACCCTGATTGCAACATATCACCCGCGCAAATCATATTTGGCCACCCCCTACGCGACACTCTCTGCTTCGTCAACAAATTGGAGAAGTATTCAAACCCCCATATCCGTCCATTATGGCGTCAGGCATGGGCAGCTAAGGAGGATGCCCTTAGAGTCCGAATCGCCCGTCACACAGAATCGCTGACGGAACATTCCAGACCACTCCGGCCACTAACAGCGGGTGCCAAGGTCTTTATTCAAAACCAACAAGGAGCCAGCAAGAAGAAGTGGGACAAATCAGGAACGGTGGTGGAAACTCTAGAGCATGATCAGTATCGAGTCAAGATCGATGGGTCCGGACGCTTAACCCTACGAAATCGCCGTTTCCTTCGAGCCTATAGCCCATCCACCTCCCCCATCAAACATCAACCCGTTGCGGTAACCCCACCAGCAAGATCAGGAGATCAGTATCAGTCACCACAGGCACCAAGCCACCACGACTACCCCCACCGGCACTCATTACAGTCCCCACCACAGTCCGATACCAGCAGTTGTCCATCAGACTGTGACCCACCAACCATGGAGAGTCCAGCTCCCCTTACTGACCCAGGCTCGGACCGACCAGACGAAATCAATACACGTGGTACGACTGCCTCGCCCCCTGAACCACCAGAACCACCAATTCAACCCCCACCTGATCGCCCAAGGCGTATTACCCGACCACCAAAACAATATGAACCTGAAACTGGCAAGTGGATATCAGTTTAAGTCCGCAGAACCATGGCCGCACAAGGATCTACGGACTGGGGGGGATGTTGTATCATGAAGTACTTGCCATAGCTCACCGCTGACCAAGTAGCTCGGTCAGCGAGACTTGTGCTTGTTGTGTTTATAGTTATTGTGTTGAACCACTGTGTGTTAAACTCTTTCGGACATGTAAATATCGTTAGTACGATATTACTAGACACTTAAAACTACAGCTTATGTATAGTAAGTATCTATCTTTTGTTTACATTGTATGTCATGCTTAGCCGCTCTTACAGTTGTTACTATTATTCCATGTAGTATGGTTTCTACATCGTTGTTATTAAATCGGAATATAAAGCAATCGAGGAGAGTTTCTTCACAGAGATTTTTTATTTTTGCCGTCCCATCTAAAGGAATTTGAGATCTCCTTGGGTGTATTTGCCACTATCCGTTGCAGCTCATCATCTGTAAGGGATACCTGTTGCAATGTCGCATTGTTTTCGGGAATTTTGCAAATGTATAGCAGAGTCCAAATAATGTGTTTACACAAATCCTTACCACGACTTTTCGCGAAATCAGGACATTCACACGTGTGCTGAGTTCCTATACAAACTTGGTAGGTTTTACACTGCGACGTTGATATTGTGTACGATAGACCACAATGTATTGAATTTTTATTAACATGTTCTGCTTTTAATGAATCTTTTTCTTGTTTAGCTTTCTCCAAGCGATCGTTAAAATGTTTGCTGCGTGCTGTTCTGTACCGACCAGGTCTTGCTTGTGATGATTTTCGCGGTCCGCTCATAACACTGGCGTTATGTCTGTCATGTGGTGTGGTAAAGGGCACTGCGCTTTCAGAAGGGGCAACTGTCCTGTCCTTGTCAGTTATGTCTTCTCTTGTTAGCTCTTCACCAAGTGTTTTCGCAAGTTTTAGCTGATTTGCTGTTGCATTTCGTTTTTTGTCAAGCATCGAAGGACCTGTACCAATGCATGAAACTCCATCACGAAACGCCTTATAATCGACTTCAAGCTGCACATTATCGCAAGCGTCCGCGTATGCTGCATCCAGAAGAGACATGTTCATCTTGTCTCGTTTACTCCAACTTGCATGAACTACCTCAGCTAAATTCATCTTAGGACCTTAGGAAATATAAATGCACGTCTTTTGTCCCACCAATCTATCCAGGTAGTCAAGCTCGAACGGTCTGGACTTTCTGAAATAAAGTTATCTATATCATCTTTAGCCTTTTTGTAGGCGGTTGCAGATCGAGCTTCGAGCAGTGAATTACAGAGTGATTTAAAAACGACCTCGAACTTCTTGGTTGAATTTCCGTGATTGGCGATTCCTACACTCTTTAAAATGAAATTCACACGTCTTTACCTGTTCGAGAACAGCCGATCCAAACACCCTTTTTAAGCCTTCCATATTGGCCCCCGCCATATCTGTTATCCATCCGCATGGGTTAAAAAGATAGTCCTTTTTGCCACTTACTTTCTGAAGAACTTCATTGAAGCATTTCCAAAAATATTCAACGGAAAGAGAGTCTTCGGCTTCGCATTCCATTGTTGCCAGTGGAACAACTCTCTGCAGCAGCGGATGATACACACTGGCCGTAAGAGAAACAAAACCCTTGCATCTACTAACCTTCCCATCGAAGAAACAAACTTCCTCACTTAATGCATTGTCCTTAGTTCGATCCATCTTCAAAGCAAACTGAGCTTTCAATGTGCTGGATTTAAAGACTAGCGAAGGTTTATTAGGATTGCCACGCCTATCATTGATCGAGTACACGTAAAAAGGATCACGTTTGTCAGCATATTGTTTGAAGTGAGCAACTGCTTCGTAATTATGCCCATGCGGTTCATTTGACGCTTTTACTTTTTGCTTTTCATTCGAAATCGATTTTTTGTCAGTGACGGCAGACGCTGTTTTCTCCACCGTGTCCCAATCTGCACCTGCAATATAATGCAGAAACATCGGAAAATTTAGCATTTTATGTGCTTATGTGCTATGATATATATATCAGACTCCCCAGGTTTCAAGTACTAAATAACATTCAGGAATGTGCGGTACATATTTTCGAAACCCTGTCCCGTCAAAAAAAATGCTGTCAAGTAAGCGAGCAACATAGGTTTGTGCCTCTCGTTGTGTGGGTATATTTGGCGTAGAGACTAAAAATAAGTTATATGCGTTAGAGCAAATGTTCTAGGATAGTTTGTATACATATTATGGTTCAGCTTCTCTATTATTGAAATTCAAGGTATAATAGTAATATGCAATTATATATAACCACTAGTACCTTGCTTCATTTTTGAAATAATGAGATTGCTTTGTATCTGTGAAGGAGTAAGGTTTGGGTTTTCATGCAGCTGTCTGCTAACTTCTTCCTTTACACCATCTTTGAATTCAACGTTCGTTGTGGGACAAGTATGCTTTCCACAATGATAGACCCGTGTCTTCTTGCCGCACGATGCGATGTAACGCCTCGCATCACATTTTACATACTTTCCTGCACTTCCACATACGCTGCAATTCTTTTTTCTATCGAAATGTGTTTTGTTTATAACGCCGTATTCCTTTCTAAACTCGCAGGCGGAATTTGTGCACATATAGGATCCAGAGCAATCGGAGTAGCGCACGTTGTCATAGCCAACCCAGCGAGTCTGTGAGGATTTCTTCCACTTTCTTCCATCTCTTACCATCGACGTTTTCGTCATCGCTTCTCCAGATTTGGTGATCTCGTATACTCGCAGACCATCAATATTTCCAGGAATCGTTTTCACTCGCTCCACTTCAACTTTGTTCCACAAGTGTTTAGGGTATCGTTTAGCATTTTTTCCAACGGTGTTATATTCCTCATTGGATGTCGAATCACTGCTCTCATCCCATTCACGAACTCCTTTACTTTCTCCGTCATCACTGGAACTAAATTCTCTCATCGCTTCAGATTCATTTTTTCTCTTTAAATTTCCACCGGAGCCTGACTGTGGTTTGTCCTCCAGCTTCACGCTTGTACTTGCTTCTCCGTTTTTTCTTTCACCAATGTAGCGAGTGATGTGACCAATGTCCACTGCTGTCTAAAGTTTGAAAAGTTCATTAGGAATGAAAATGGGGAAGGATATTTACAAGCAAGAGGATTTACATTTCATATTCTGTTCAACCGAGCAGAAATTGACCCTTTAACGTGTCACAACCTTGTCGTTTTAAATTTAAAATTCAATTGAGATAGATTTCAAGTTTTACTTTCCCCAGCTATGCGAAACATCCTCCTGCTACACATGCATGAAAAATAATTTTTCATTTTGACATGTAACATTTGAAAAGTGTGAAAAAAGCCATATCACGAGAACGATGGTCCCGTCGTGGTCCTGGGAGCCTCGTTTTAGTGGTACGGTCTGATTTCGGTCCGATATTTCCCGGTGGGTTATTATAAAGTTATTCTCACTTGCGCATCATCGTCATCATCGCTTGACAAGATGACCAACTCCTTTGGTATGCTGTAACCGAAGCTGCCAAGCGGAAGCACTGGAGCACCAGGAGTGCAATCTTCCTCTGGTTCCCAAGACTCAAACTCCAAAGCTTTTCTCTAACCCATACATAAACATTAAAAAATTACTCCAATCATGCCAAGCAATGAAAAAATGCACATATCCTAGCTATTAGCTATACTGACGTCAACATGGGATAAATAGATAGATTGCTACATAGATAAATCTATATAGATAGATAAATTGTCAATAGAATTATTAAGCAACAATGGTAAACGAAATTTCTCTGGTTTTATTTACAAATACGGGACTTGCTAATTTTAAACAAATACTATGTCATGTATTGTCGGAATTTTTTGACGTTGTGACTATGGACTCGTAAGATAGACGGACTCCTCTCAGTATCTGATGAACTCTGAAATTTTGACGAAAAATTACCATAAATATTTGTTAAATGAATATACATGATTCATGAAACTGCATGGACTTTATTTCAAACTAATTTGTTGCATGGAGTTACTATAGGATCAGTTGTGAAGTTGAACGAAACAGACATAGCTACGTACTTTTTCCAGACTGGCACATCTCGAAAAAGCAAGTGAATTTCCATCGTCAGAAGTACTCTCGTTACTCTAGAAAAACAGTCATTAATAACATTTTTAATGAACTATTTTGAACTTAACCACCGTTAAAGCTAAATGGGCTTGATACAACCGACCCCAGGTGTTTGTATTGACTATTGTGACTAATTGCGACAACGCTCTGATCGTGACATGCCTCCTCATGCATTGATTGAAGTAAGGATTCATACATATAGTACAAATTTCTCAATGGCTTTATTATTTATTTTTAAAACGTCTTGAGCTTCATGATGAAAAAAAATCTGTATTTGTCAGCTATTTGCCTCCCACTTAAGGATCTTCCGCACCCCCTGGTTATAAATACATGCAGTACTTACCACCCCGCATGAGAACCCCAAAACAGAAGGTTGTTTTTGTGGAGAAATTGTCAAATCTATTATGTCTATATCAGCTCTTTCCAACTCTGCCTGTAAATATGGATTAAACTCAATAAATTCCCACTTTTTAATTTGATTTTATTGTTTAATATATGAATGAGTCAGAAAGTTTTAAATGTTCAAAACACCACCTGGCTAAGCAGCAAGGCTTTTTAACAGCAATCTTTTCATTTTCCAGCTGATAAGCTGACAGCCATTTAACAATGCCTTTTTTCTTTTTCGATTCTTCCATCGAATGATTCGAATCCACCATATCTTCGCCGCTGTTGGACACAACTTCGCTGAATAATCTTTTTTCATTGTTTATAATATTATAAACACCTGGAGAAGCTTCGTGAAGTTCAAAACGTTGTTAATACGTTCTGAAGCAGCCTAGTTTAAAAATCGCCTTTTTTGTCGCGACTCGCGCCTATTTTGTCGCGACTCGCGCCTGCTTTGTCGCGACTGGCGCCTACTTTGTCGCAACTCGCGAGGCGCGCCAATTAGATTATCTCGTTGTGAGCATGTTTACCAACCATTATCCCATATAATAAACCTTGCTATACGAACAAACAAAATACCATCAGCTTGGAAAATTGCGAAGGTGATCCCAATACATAAGAAAGGTCCTAGGGATGATCCAGGTAATTATCAACCAATCTCGGTATTACCTGCTTTATCCAAAATTTTAGAGAAGGCAATACATCAACAGTTAATGGATCATTTAGAAGAGCAAAGTTTACTGACGGAACATCAATTCGGATATAGACCAAATAGATCAACAAATTTGGCGGCAACACTATTTGTAGATAACATCAGAAGAGAGGTCGATCGTGGTAATCTGGTGGGCACTGTGTTTATTGACCTATGTAAGGCGTTCAATACACTTAGTCACTGCACTTTGCTTAGTAAACTCCCAGCATATGGTATAGTTGATAATGAACTGGAACTGTTTACTGATTATATGTTTCAAAGGCAACAAGTTGTTTGTATCGGATCAAGTACATCTGATATGCGGCCAGTTTGTAGCGGGGTGCCTTAAGGTTCTATTTTGGGACCATTACTGTCCATTACACTCTATAACGATTTTGTTGATTATATCCGCGAGAGTCAGGTGTTGATGTATGCCGACGACTCGGTAATTTACACGTCAGGAAAAAATGTTGAACTCATTGAAAGAACATTAACGGATGACTTAAAACATATTTCTGAATACCTTGATGAGAATGAATTAGTCATTAATCTGAATAAGGGGAAGACAGAAGTTATGCTATTTGGAACGGCGAAGAGGATTTCACTACAAAGTCGACAGATGGAAGTAAAATTTCGCAGAACATTAATAAACAACACAGAAACATATACGTATCTTGGCCATATACTCGATAAGAATCTATAAGAAATCTTGTAATTGACTGAAGCTTTTGTATAAATTATGGTATTCGATGAACTTAGACACGGTATTAAGGATTTACCAAACAATGATTCAACCTATTAGGACATACACGGGAATACTTAAATTGCATTTCTCAGACACACAATTGGGTAAGATGGAATCGATCGAAAGGCGAGTTCGAAACATGACTTTGAAACATGACTTCAAGTTCGGAAAATCTGGTACCTTCTATCGTGAAAAGTCTACACAAACGAGCATGACTGTGAGACAATGTTTAGATAAACAAATATGTACCAATTTCCATGAGTACTTTAGAATTAATGAGCATAATCGTAACACCAGAAATATGGGAATCCTAGTAAATATTCCAAAAGTGAAATTGGAATTTGCTAAGCAGTCATTTTATTTTCATGGTGCCAAAATCTATAATGATTTGCCTATTGAAATAAGACATGAGCAAAACTATTGCAAATTCCTAAACATGTTGAACATACACTTCAAATGATATATTTTAATATCTATTTTTATTTATATGGTTAGCTGTGTTCTATTGGGATCTTGTTTTTATATAACTTATTTTACATGTAAATAGAGGACATATTTTGATAACAGTGTCGTTTGAACACTGAAATGTTTTTTTAATCCTCTGTAAAGATTTTATATAATAATAATAATAATAAAATTGTATAGTTCATCATTTGACGTTTTGCCTGTGAATTTAAATGGTCTCATCTTGTTGTTAAAACAAATCAGAAACAAACAGATAATCAATGTACAAATTATTCATTATTAGATAAATATGCAAACCATTCAATTTTTCAGAATAAGTTCCCACATGTAATGAAAATGAGTTTTGTTGAATTTGTAACAATGTACGAGACTGTAAAAAAAAAGCTTGTAAAACGGTCACCAAATTTTCTTCCCAAAGTTTCTTCCCTTGTTACTCTCAAATCCAAAAGGAATTAATTATCCACTATATTGCAAATACCAGCTTTTAAAGTATAAGCCATGGAGAAACTCACAAAACAATGCATGGGATAACCAGGAACATTCAGACACAACTTTTGTAAATTCGTGGCTCAACTTTTTAAATTCCCCATTTGCAAACCAGCATGTGCCAGATTGGGAAAAACAATTGCAAAATGTGTTAGATAATGTTATGCAACAAAAGAATGAATTATTTGAAAAAAATGAAAGTTCTGATCAGGAAGAATGGATGATTTTTTCTAATTATCATAAACTTAATTAATGAAACTCCCCATACCAACAGTAATACATTATGTCATTGGCATTTAGATTCTGCAAGGTACACACCCCAGCAAATTGGTGAAATGCCAAAATGGGTCAAAGTAAAAAAAGAGTGACTATACTATTCCCTAATGTGAATGCAACAGCAAAGTTGATACAAGTACATTTACTGAGGTGCAACAGCGGGCATATAACATTATTGTAAATCATAACAATGTCGAATCTAAAGAACCACTTTTGCTTATTATTATTGGTGAAGGGGGAATAGGAAAAAGTTTCCTAATTAATGCTGTGAGAAAATATTTACAGCAGAAGTGTATTGTGACTGCTACAACTGGCAAGGCATCATTTAACATAAATGGCATAACCATTCACTCATTTTTGAAATTGCCAGTTGGTAAAATGTCCCAAAAATATTTATCTGCCCAAAGCCTGGATAATTTGCGAAAACATTTGTTGCCAGTTGACTATATTGTAATCCATGAATATTCTATGCTTGGTCAAACTACAATGGGATGGATTGATAGACGTTGTAGACAAGCTACTGGATTACAGGACTTGTTTGGTGTAAAATCCGTAATTTTAAATGGCGATCCTGTCCAACTTCCTCCCGTTGGTGACAAGCCATTGTATTATAGTAAACCATCTAATTCAATCGCTGAACAAGGTTTTCTAGCATATAAAATGTTTAACAATGTAGTTATATTAGATGTTAATCAGAGGATAAGGGGTAGTCAACATGATCAAACGTTATTTAAAGGCATCTTATCACAACTTTGAAATGGATAATTAAGTTGTAATGACTGGAAACAGCTCCTTACTAGACAGCCAACAGTTTTGTCTAATCTAAATAAATTTATTGATGCTACTAGACTGTATTACAGCAATGAAGAAGTTGCAAAATATAATTATGATCGCCTAATGCAGTTAGAAACTCCTATTGCAGAAATTTGTGCAAGACACTCTGGTACCAATGCAGAAAGTGTCAGTGCTCAGGAAATATTTGGTTTGCAACCTCTTATTTTAATTTGTAAAGGTGCTAAAGTTTGTTAACAATGAACTTATGGGCCTTGGTTGCGCCTCTGCAATGGGGCAACAGGAACTGTTGTCAATATTAGTTATGCAAAACAATCGCCTAATGCAGTTAGAAACTCCTATTGCAGAAATTTGTGCAAGACACTCTGGTACCAATGCAGAAAGTGTCAGTGCTCAGGAAATATTTGGTTTGCAACCTCTTATTTTAATTTGTAAAGGTGCTAAAGTTTGTTAACAATGAACTTATGGGCCTTGGTTGTGCCTCTGCAATGGGGCAACAGGAACTGTTGTCAATATTAGTTATGCAAAACATCACAATCCACCAGATTTACCTATTGCTGTTTTGGTGAAGTTTGATGATATCAGGCACAATCCGCTTTGTGTTGTGGGAAAATTATATATCAAAAGTTTCGTCAGAATCTACTTATGATCTATCGAAAGTTGTCCTTAAGGAATACGAGAAGGCAAAGTATCTCAACTTAAATAGGTTATCTAGCATCAAGATATCACAAACATCAAT